TCATCTGGACCCATCAGTCTTTCCTGCCTATGCAGGGGGTCGGACTCGATGATCTATTGAGGTCCCTTCCGACCCTAACATCTATGAATCTATGAAAAATATATTTTTTAAGCAGCACTTTGGCACCTGCTTAAATATGGTACAAATCATCTATGATATCAATCCAAAGACAAAAGGCTTGTGATTTACCCTACCGGGGTGCTCAGTTTCCAGCCTGCAGGCCACATGCAGCCTGTGGAGTCATAGGTATACAGCCCAGCAGATTAGGAAATCTGGTGGCAATACAACCACCCTCCCCTGATACCAAATTCCCAAACCCTAAGCCTCATACAGGAGGCTCAGCTGGGTCACATCCCCTCCACCTCCCCCATGCCTGAATGGGGCTGGGTCAAGCCACCTTCCTTTGGTGGGGCTGGACCATGCCTCCTCCCCCACGGGACTGGGTTGGGGCTGGGCCATGCCACTCCCCCCCCCCCACCAGGGCTGGGCCCCAGACCCCACAGGACCAGGATGGAGCCAGAATGCCCCCTGCCCCCTCCATGCAGCTGGATGGGGTCCTGCCAAAACTTCCCTGTGCTGGATCAGAACCATCAGCCGGCTCCAGCCCCCCAGCCAAAAAGGCTGAGCACCACTTTACCATACAGTTCATCTGGATGGGCCCCAGAGTCAAGACTTCAAGCCATGGTGATCCCACAGCTCAGCACTGTTCAGATGTATGTGTACTCCAGACCCCTGCCCCCCAAAGGATCCATGTCATGGTTGGCATTTGCTACAGACCTCCAAACCAGGAGAAGGAGGTGGACAAGACCATCTTTAAACAAATGACAGAAGCTTCTAAATTGCAGGACCTGGTTTTCGTGGGGGACCTTAATTATCTGGACAACTGCTTGGAGGGAAAACAAACAGTGCACAAGCAGTCCAGCAAATGCAGATGTAGACAAGCCAACTAGAGAGGAAGCTCTTCAACTTGCTGCTCACAAACAGGTTGAAAATGTGAAGATGGAAGGTAACTTGGGTGATAGGGACCACAAAATGAGTTAAGATTCTAAGGGGAGGAAGGAAAGAAACCAGCCATGGGTGACTGGTACTTTTTGAGTTGGGGGGGTCCCCCAGTGACCAATGCCACTGGCCACTTCTGGAAGTGGCATGGCCACTTTTGCTGGCAGTTCCACTCCCCAGCCGGCGCTCGCAGGGGGGACACTGGTGCTCCTGCCTGCCCCCCTGCCCACTGACAGGGGGTGCACCAGCGCTCTCAGGGGATGCACCCCCTACGCGTTGCAACTGAAACCAGCAGATACTGAACTTTAAATAAGCAGATTTTAATGAACTCTAGGAACTGGTAGGCAGGATCTCCTGGGAGGCAAGTCTGAAGAGTAAAGGAGTCCAAGAGAGCTAGCTGTACTTTAAGAAGGCCCAAGAGCACAGGAGCAAGCTATCCTGATGTGACTGAAGAATGGAAAGCACAACAGGAGGCCAGCCCAGCTAGACAGCAATCTCTTCAATGAGATGAAACTCAGAAAAGGAATCCTACAAGAAGCAGAAACTTGGTCAGAATACTAAGGAAGAGCATAACAATATTACACAGGAGAAAATTAAGAAGGTCAAGACAAAATTTGAGATATAACAAGCCAGGGGCAAAAAAGACAATAAAAAGGGGTTCTACAAGTATGTAAAGAATAAGAGGAAAACCCAAGAAATCATAAATCTCTTACAGAATGCAGAAGGAAATCTAATTATCTAATGATGCAGAGAGGGCTAAAGTATTTAATGCTTTTTTAATTTAGTCTTTACAAATAGTGGCAACTTCAGATGATTATTATAATTGGCACAAAGATAGGGAAGGTGATAAGCAGCTTAGAGTAATGGCAGAACAGAGTAAGGATTACAAGGAAAGCTAGATGCTTTCAAGTGAGCAGAGCTGGATGAGATGAACCCCTAGGGTACTGAAGGAATTGGCTGAGGTAATTTCAGAGTAATTGGTTATCCTCTTTGAGAACTCCTGGAGGCTGGATAAAGTCCCCGATGACTGGAAAAGGGCAAATATAGTGCCTGCCTTTAACAAGGGAACAAAGACAATCCATGGAATTACAGACTAGTCAGCCTGACTTTGATACCTGGAAAGATCATGGTGCAAGTCATCAAGGAATCTAGGATGAAGCACCTAGAGGAAAACAAGGTGATCAGGAACACCCAGATTGGATTCACCAAGAGCAAGTGATGCCTGACTAACCTGATTCCTTTCCATGATAAAATGACAGGCTCTGTGGATAAGGGCAGAGGAGTGGATGTGGTGTATTTTGAATTTAGCAAGGCTTCTGACTGTCTCTCACTACCTTCTCATTAACAAGCTAAGGAAATACAGACCAAATGAAAGTACTGCAAGGTGGACAAAGAACTAGTTGAGTCATCATGATCAATGCATAGTCATTAATGGCTCCATGTGTAGTTGGGAGAAGAGGTCCTTGGTCCAGTACCATTTAATATGTACATCGATGATTTGGAAAATGAGATCATGTGCATGCTTAGCAAATTTGCAGAGTATGACATCAAGCTGGGTGGAGCTGCAGACACTCAGGAGGGCAGGGACAAGATCCAGAATAACCTAGATTGACTAGAAGAATGATCTGCAATCAACCAGATGAGATTCAACCAGGACAAGTGTAAAGCTCTGTCACTTGGAGAATAACTGCATGCACAAATACAGACTGTGGAATGACTGGGTGGGCTGTAGTAATGCAAAGAAGGACCCGAGGATTACAGTAGACCAGGAGCTGAATATGAGCCAATAGTGTGCTCTTGTTGCAAAAAATGGCATATTGGGTTGTATTAGCAGGAGTGCCACATACAGATCAAGGGAAGTGATTCTTCTGCTGTATTCAGTGCTGGTGAAGCCTCACGTTGAAGAACGTTTCCAGTTCTGGGCCCTACATTTCAAGAAAGATGTGAAGAGATTGGAAAGTCCAGCATAGAGCAACAAAAATTATAGAGACCTTGAAAGCAGGGTTTATGAGGAATAGCCAAAAGAGCTA